ATTCTATTCTATTCTATTCCATTCCATTCCATTCCATTCCATTCCATCCATTCTATATTCCAATATTCTCTTTTTTCTCTCTTCTCTTCTCTTCTCTTCTCTTCTCTTCTCTTCTCTTCTCTTCTCTTCTCTTCTCCTCTCCTCTCCTCTCCTCTCCTCTCCTCTCCTCTCCTCTTCTTCTACATTCCAATATTCTATTCCATTCCATTCCATTCCATTCCATTCCATTCCATTCATTCTGGCTTAAGAAATGTATGTCCTTCCTTTGGTTTGGGGAGATTCCTGAGCAAATTCCCATGAAAATAAAAAAGGTTACTAAACGCTCAGCCACATCTCCATGTGGTTGACCATCTTCTCACTCACATTGCTGGTGTGTGGTGGTAGAGGAAGGGTGGACAGGAAAACAGCTGGTTCCCTGGCAGATGTGGTCATCCTGAAATTGGATGTTTCCAACAGCTCAAAAAAAAAAAGCCTGTATATTTTTTGCTTCACCAAAGGCCTCATGTCGATCCAAGCCTAGCCAAAATATGCCCCCAAATATTTTGCTGCCTTATTTGTATTTTTTTTCTTGGTTTGCCAAACAGGTTGTGGGACTTCCTTTGATTTTCACAAGAAGATTGATTATCTGTTCCTAGTGGGTACCGAGGAAGGCAAAATCTACAAGGTAAGAGAAACTTTCTCGTAAAACTGGGTTGCATTTTCTGGTCACGGAGCACAGGTGGCCTCCTTCCCTTGTCAAGAAAAGTGTCTCAGGCATTTACGAGCCTCACCTAAATGCAGCAGGTAAATACCTCCTTAACAGGTGGGAAGTGCTAGAAAAATTGGGAATGCATGACACTAGTGGATTTCGGAAGGAGGGGTCTTAAGGCTTGGGACTGATTGATGATATCAGAGGACTGAATACAATAAGTTTGTTTTTGCCTGTTGCCTGAGAGAGAGAGAGAGAGAGAGAGAGGGAGGGAGGGAGAGAGAGAGAGGGAGAAAGAGAGGGGCAGAGCCTAGGCCGTCCGTCAGCTCTCAGATGGGGAGTCAATAGCCCCCAGGTCCAGAGGTGGCTGATGAGGAAGAGGAGGAACAGCTGGGTCCAGTGCCTGACACACAGATGCACAGAAGGCAGAGGAGAGGAGAACAGTGGAAATCTATGGGCTGGTCCTTGGGACGGAAGAGCCACCACTGCTAGTGAAGCCCCACCTGAGTTCTGGGGATAAAAGTCGGGGGGAAGAGATGAATAGATGTGGCAGACAACTATTTATCTCCCCGCCAGGCCAAATGTTAGCGTGCGAGGTAAATGTTTTTGCTGGGGTTGCCGGCGTGCCTAATAAAGGAATCTTTTGAGTTCACGTCAGACGGTTTGTCGTGTTTGGGGAGCTGGGTCAGAACAAGGTTAATCTTTAATTATGGCATCCTTCTTGGGATCATCACCCTCTTTGATTTTGGGGAATCGTTTTGGAAATATTCTTGGATCACCGTTGCTAACTTAAGCCTTCAGCCGACTTGTGATGATTTGTGGCACCGTCAGCCAGGTGTTCAGACTGGGTTTGACATTTTTCTCTACCTATTGAGTCCTTTCAAAGGACCTGGGGAGGCAGATGTTGTTATATAAAGGTGTTCAAGGTATCGTGATGACCCAAAGGGGCATGGCACAAAAATAACAAAGTCACAAAAGTAGAATAAATTCCCTTTAGTGCTTCCAACTTGGCCCCCCAATGTCCAATTATCCTCAGCTGGAGATCAAACTCTTCCAAAAACAGTCTACGAAGGGCAGAAATGTAGCCTGAATCCAAAGTAAAGATAATTAGAAATTTAAAAAAACAACAACACAAACCACACTGAAGTAATTAACACGGCAGGCCAGGATGATAAATTGCAGACTTATACCAGATAACACAGCACCCACAGTTGGGAGGACACCAAAACCCAGATAAGTCTCAACAAAGATCATGCACACTTTGCTTCCAGCAAGGAGCTGTGTGCAAACGCCCCACTTATATTCTGTTCTCCCAGCTGCAACTAATGAAAGGGATCAGGGCCTTTTTCTCTCCCGTAAGCCATGTTGCTCCCTTCTCCATTCCTCCCTGCGTGCCCTGGGGGAGGCCCTGCGTCTTCCTTTGAAGGTCCAGCTGGACTGCGCCCTTCCCCTGTTTCTTCCACAGCCACCGGAGCCACACTCCCACTCCTTGTCAGCTACTCATCCTCCCCCTTGGAATCAGATTCCAACAGGGGTATGACAGGCATCATCTTAGAATGTAGGCTGTTCCTAGTAATGCTGCCATTTGCAGTTCAGTCCAAGTGATTTCATTAACGGGGATGTTGTTATTGTTAAATATTTTGGGCATCTGGTGGGAGTTATGAATTGTTGCCTCCACTCCCCTCTTCCCTCTTCCCTCCCCTCTCCCTTTTCTTGGCAAGATTTTTGGAAGTAGTTGGCCATTGTCTTCCTCCTAGGTCTCAAAGTGAGTGACTGGCTTAAAGTCACCCAGTTGACCCCCTGCCTCACGCCTAAAACCCACAGTCTCCCAGTTTCTAGGCTGATAGCAATATAGCAAATAGGGAGTGGTGAGGTGGCCTAGTGGTGGAGCTCTCACCTCACAATCAGGAGGCTGTGAGTTCGATCCCAGGTAAGAGGCAGATATTTCTCTCTCTGGGCACACTGAGAATATAGCTGCTGGGGGAAAAAACTCCGCATTGGTGACAGGAAGGGCATCCGGCCAGTAAGCATTCTACTAGCTCCATTCAGTTGCCCAGACTCTACACCAGTGGTCCCCAGCCACCGGGCCCCGGACCGGTAGCGGTCCGTGGATCATTTTTTACCGGGCCGCAAAGAAGTGGGCGCCGCCATCTTGTTTCGACGGCGCTTGAGAAAGTGCTTCCGGGTGAGCTTGTCGGTCGTCGGTTGGAAAGCGGCGTTTGGGTGCTGGAGGAATCCTCGCGCCTTAGTTTCATCGAGGGGGTGGTGGCTTCGAACGAAGAGCCGTCCCGATGGCGGTGGAGTCTCGCGTTAGGAGGAGATTAAGAAAGAGCCCGAAAAGCCCATTGACAAAGGTACAAAGGAGGAGTTGAAGGTGGCGGGGAGAAGCGGGGGACGGCTGGCTGGCCGGTCACTTGGCTCGCCTTGCCTTGGTCGTGCGTGCTGATGCCGGTACCGGGCCGTGGATCATTTTGTGATGCCGGTATCCGGTCCGTGGGACAAAAAAGGTTGGGGGCCACTGCTCTACACCGCAAGGGATTATGGAGTCGTTAAAAGAAGATGACAGTGATCATGAATATAGCATTTAGACTTCTATACCACTTCGCGGTGCTTTACAGCCCTCTCGAAGCAGAGTCAGCATATCGCCCCCAATGAGCTGGGTCCTCCTTTTACTGACCTCTGAAGGACGGAAGGCTAAGTCAACCGGGAGCTGGTGAGAATTGAACTGCCAAACTGCAGTCAGCTGGCAGTCAACAGAAGTAGCCTGCAATGCTGCCTTTTAACCACTGCGCTATCGCGGCTCATGATGCGTTAACCAGCACACCAAACTGGTTGTCTTAAAATTATAAGTGCTATGTATTTTTTATTTTATTTTTAAATCCTGTGGGTTGCCACAATACAAAAAAGATGTTAAGATTCTGGAGTGGTGCAGAGAAGAGCAATAAAGCTGATTAGGAGGCTGGAGACTAAAATATATAAAGAATATATTTTAGTTGAATGGGAAAAAAAAAAAAGAATTAGGCGGGGCACGATAGCAGTCTTCCAATATTTGAGGGGCTGCCCCAAAGGAGAGGGAGTCAAATTATTCTCCAAGGCACCAGAAAGGCAGGACAAGAAACAAAGAATGGAAACTATTCAAGGAGAGAAGCAAACTGGAATTAAGGAGAAACTTCCTAACAGTGAGGACAATTTAACCAGTGGAACAGCTTGCCACCAGAAGTTGTGGGTTGCTCCATCGCTGGAGGTTTTTAAAAGAAGAAACTGGACAATCATTTGCTTGAGCAGGGGGTGGACTGGAAGACCTCCACGGTCCCTTCCCACGCTGTTATTCTGTTCTGTGGTTTTTTTAGGCTTTAGAATGGAGAAAAATCAGTCAAGATCAGTGGTGGTATTCTACCAGTTCGGCCCGGTTCGAGTGAACTGGTAGTAAAAAAATATTACCATTCAGCCCACCTGGTAATAAAAAAACAACAACTATTTCTCTCTTTCTTGCTCCCAACGATCAGTTTCCTGCTTCGCCTAGGTGGCTTTCCTGAGACCCTGAGCGCAGGGTACGTGTGTGTGCTGCAAAAAAAGCCACACCCACCCAGTCACATGGCCACACCCACCTAGCCACGCCCACAGAACTGGTAGTAAAAATATTTGCATCCCACCCGTGGTCAAGATGTCATTTCTGTTAAGCCTGGATTCCCCAACGGGTGTTAAGGAAAACAAACTAAACAGAACGTGCAGTGAAGTCAGATAGGAAGACAGGTAAATGTGTGAGATAAGTTTTCTAGTTAACACGCAGTAAAAATACAGATACGCTTGTGCTATCAAAAATATTGTTTATTCCATTTAAGAATTATAGCATAGTCAAATAAACAGTCCATTAGTCATATACCAAATTCAGTCAAGTCTTGTCGAGGATACTCTAATTGCAAAGTCCGTGTCGAATAGCCAGTGTCAGTACACATATAATAAATCTGTCCAAAACTTATCTTCTCTCCATTGAGAAATATCTTCAAAGTAATCCAACACTTCTTCTCCTCCCCGATCCAGCAAGAACGCAGTCTTCAATAAGCCAGCCAGTAATTAGGGTTCAGTAAGCCAGAGAGTGCCTTGCTGCTTATATAGTACTTTTACAACTGCACCCTTAATTACATTCCTTTAGCTTAAAGTCACATACACTTTATCTGACAAACCATGATTCCATATTTATTATTTTTACCCAAACCAGTTAGGGTAAACAATGTTATCCCTAACAATTTCCATATATGGTTTGTTTAAAAAAAATGGGTTTTGTTTTGTTTTTTTTTGAGATAAGTTAGAATAAAAGATCAATGTGAGGAACAAATTTAGTAACCTTATTGAGAATATAAAAGAGAACCTGTGGAATGAGGAGTCATAATGAGATCAAAAATGGGAGGGGGAAAAAACTTTCAGAGTTTTTTCAAAGTTTTCAAAGTTCAAAATTCAAAGTACAGCTATGAAGCTATCATGATACTCAGGGAAGATGGAGAATGGACTCTTTTAGCAATGAAACTTACAATGCATGATGTGGGCTTTAGGTCATGCAAGGAAGGGACAGGATTAACTCACTTGAAAGCCCTAACAAATAGAGGGAAATAGCAATAAAACTGTAGATTTTAAAAGGAAAGGAAAGGAAAGATTAAGGAAATTACCGAAATCACAGCTAAATTAAGATTACTCAATCATGGAAAATATCTAATAGAACTAAATGAAGATTGAAAACTCTATAGTGATGTCCTTAAAGATAGGATTATAGAATGAGAGAAATATCTGTAGAGAGAGTATATATACTGGCATGAAAGAAAAGCAAAGAAAAGCAAGCAAGAAAGAAAGACAGAAGAAAACAGAATAACAGAGTTGGAAGGGACCTTGTAGGTCATCTAGTCCAACCCCTCGCCCAAGCAGGAGACCCTACCCCATTTCAGAAAAAATGAAAGAAGGAGAAAGAGAGAGAGAGAGAGAAAGAAAGAAAAAGAAAAAGGAAGGAAAAAAGGAAAGAAAGAAAGGAAAGACAGAAAGAAGGAAGGAAGGAAGGAAGGAAGGAAGGAGGGAAGGAAGGA